TCTTAATGCCCTTTCGCACCTTTATTCATGTAGAAGCACCACTATAGTTGGTAGGATTGGAGATGCATGAAGATAGGAGGAAGGTTAATGTCACAACTATGAAATGTTATCATTGGTCATGCAATTGAGCTCTTTCCCTTAATTCTATGAATTCACTTTTCTAGGGATCCATAGAGAAGATATAGGTAGGACTGTATAACGACAAATCAAAAGCCATTTAAGGAGAGAAAGGCTGGCTAAATCATAGTATTCGGTATTAGTTACTGAAACCTACAAAAAGGTTTGCAAGAAAGGATATTCGGAAAAAAACACATGAAAGAAGGAAGCAATTTCAAAACATGTCATGTAGGCAGATGAAGCATTTAGCATTCAATCCTACTCAAGCCTTAGATTATAAAAGAGAATCCATCGATTCTAAATTCGAAAAATATTTATTCATAGAATGCTAAAAAAAGAAGACAATGTAAAAAAAGCAGTGTTTATATTAGAGTCGCAAACCATAGTAATAAGCGGTTACTTCCCGCTACATTTCAAATACAACCTCTAGAATTGAAGCCTGCTAGACAACCCTTTCTGATCTCCGCTATAGCATGCAAACCTTTGCCTTCACTCCCAAAGAAAATTAGCAATACGGTCATTAAAAGAAAACAAAAGAAGAATTTCCGGAATATCCGTTGGAAGATGCTGATATAGTGGTAGTGAAGGCGGTGCCCGAATGTCTTCAGCTTCGACTCACTAACGACATTCTACCAAGCGCGAAAGCACACGCTTGGTGTGCTGCGAACACAGGATTTTGCGAATTCGACGTCAAAGCCGCAACGCCAGAACCTTCTGATTCGATTCGCTCTTCAGCGTAATCTACTTTGTCGAGCACTTGAGAAATTCGCTGCTTGTCACCGATTGACTTGGCGCTATTCCTACTGAAAGAATATAATATCGCGTATAAATCTTCCGTTAGCCAAGAAATGGGCATTTCAGTCAGTGGTTCACCCATCTATCAATGAATGGTGCATTTGAGATCTTTGCTGAAATTTAGAAATGAGAGAATCGAGATTTTGGAAATGAACGCAACCGTTACCCAAATGTTTAGCGTAAAGGAGATTTTATGTATTTTTAAGCGTCTTTGAGGCACAACTTAGCCTTGGCAGTCATTTTGATTATATTAAGAGAATTTTCTTGATTTTTAGTTTTGAGTAGGCATATGACAAGTTGAGAATTTAAACAAATGAACAACACAGAGACTTTGAAGCAGCAAAAAATGTAACACTTAAAATTCCAAGGATGCGAATGCGGGGAACAGAAATTCCTGAATCTTATTCTCCTAAAATCTATGCACGCCAATATTGCGACTAAAAGAGTCTACTCTCCAAAGATTTGTACAAACCAGAACTATACACAAGGATAATAGATAAGAAATAGTACCAGCATATGATAGAAACGACGTCAGTGAAGACAACCCTAGAAAAATAGCCAAATGAAGGGACAACAAGTGAAAGCATCGATCCTGCTAGTAGAATGAGTCCCTCGGGATGGTGTGTCCATAGACAGCGGGGATTCACAGCCTTTCGCGCACATCACATCACCTCCAATTTTCAACTGTAAAGAAAAAATTGTTTGAAGTTTAGGGATGAGGCAGAGTCTTATGCACTTTTGACACATTTGAAAAGCACTAAAACGATATTTGACTTTACGTTCCAAGGGAATAATCCATCTCTTACATCGTAGAAGAAGGTTTGATGAACACACGGATGCTGATGGAATTGTAGAAAACGCCTGATATGATAGTAAAAACTTAATTAATTTAATAGCGTGTCCTAAGCAAGCAAACTCAGTCATTATAAATGATTCAGCACCCAACTTTGGCTTGACGTCACAACGAAATTGAGGTTTCCACATGTGGCA